AAGTCCTCCAGATGTTCACAAGACATTAGTCTGTCTGATATCGTTATTATAATTTGGGCTTTAAATACTTGTATTGCATGCTAACTTCACAAAATACTGTAAGGTCAACAGTGAACGGGAGAGCTTTTTCGCTCTCCTTTTCCTGTGACATAACCTGAAAAACTCAAAACCTTATAAATGTGGTAACTTGAACCCAACCTAAGTGTGGTATTCAATATGTGGGACAGACGGAGCGAGAGTATTACAGAAGAAATCAAGAACACCTTTACCGCTTTCGTAGACCTAAAAAATTCAAAAGTTTGATATATCAACATTTAGATAAGCATAATCACAATCTAAAATTTATAAAATTCAAACCACTTGAAACCGTTCTGAAACAACCAGGAGAATCACACAAACAATTTGAAAAATCACGTGAAATTCGCGAATTATTTTGGATAACGTGTTAAACATCGTATAAATTATACACTTGCTGATCTGTTATCTATAATAAAAAATAATGGCAGACATCAAGTATTATGCAAACTGGGTCAGATACAAATAAGTAAATTACATGCTATTTTTCTGGAGTGTGATAAAATTCTTTTTTTAGCCCAATGTATGAATACACCCGTATTATAACAGCCTTTTGTCATCATAGACTGTTTCCTAGTATCGATAAGCCTGAAAATCATAAACGGCATTTTCTTAAATGAAATATATAAATAGAGGTATTGATTTTATCAACTTATCTAGTATATTCAATGACTCTACCATCCAAAGCCAAACACTCCATATTTTGACAATATAGAACCACCTATTATTTCGTTTTCTTATAAAAAAACCCAGCAGAAGTTTGATTTTTAATTATACGTCAGTTACATCAGACGTCAATATAGAAAATAATGTTCCTTCCACTTGAGACTGTGAAACGCCTAGTTTTAGATATGTTCCCTATGGTCATGTCCTTACAGGAGACCTCAACATCGTCGAAGACCGTGAGGTCATAACGTTTCTTAAGAAATGACCGAAATATCGTCCTCCATCTAAAATAGATTGGAAACAGTGTCGTCAGGTCATTAAAGACGCTCTGTCTTCCTACTGTAAAAATTGGTGTAAACGTGAAAAATCTGATAAAAAATCTCTAGACAGTTATTTGAATAAAATTATGAATACTGTTAATATTCGCATATCTCATTTTGAAAACAATTCTGAAATTAGTAATAGGGTCCATAACATTCCCATTTCTAGAATAAAAAATAAACTCCAAGTACTCGCAAAGCGGTTTGTGTTCGTACCGGCAGACAAAGCAGCAAATCAAATAATGTAGTGGTGGTGTGACGCATATACTACACAGAAGTTCTCTAAAACGAAATTATAAATTCTTCTACATTCAGGTCCGTACGCTCCACAGAAAGTCGAATTGTGAACAAGCATATCACTGACACTACCAAGCTTAAAGCCTCTTCCGAACATTTGAAAGTCCCTACTATGTACTGGTTACCTAAATTGCACAAAAAACAATTTAAATTCCGTTTCATCTCCGCATCTAGCAAGTGTTCTACTACCAATCTATCAGTGCTTCTAACTACCTCCCTTACTACTATCAAAGAACTTGTTATTAACTTTTGTAATAAAGCTTATGAAAATAATGGTATTAATTATTTTTGGAGTGTTAAAAATTCTTTAGAGGTTTTAGATGAAATACATGCTTTTGATGGTCCTTTTAATTCTGTTGACAGTTATGATTTTTCTACTCTCTATACTACACTTCCACACAATCTTATCAAGAAAACGTTTTCATATTTAATCAAATGGTCTTTTGAAAAATCTCATTGCAAATTTATTTGCTGTAACTCGTTTAAAGCCTTTTTCTGTAACGAAAAAGGAAAGTATGCTAGATACACTTACTGGAAATGTGAAGATATGATGGAAGCTTTGAATTTTCTCCTGGACAACATATATGTACGTTTCGGCGATAAAGTGTATCGACAAGTAGTAGGTATTCCTATGGGCACTAACTGCGCCCCTTTAATAGCAGATTTATTCCTGTATTGCTATGAATCTCAGTTTATGACCAAACTCATTAAAGACACGTCATTGTTACATTTGGTTGATACATTCAACAATACCTTCCGTTATCTGGATGATATTTGTTCGTTAAATAATCCAGAGTTCTCTAAATATACTACCGAAATTTACCAAAAAGAACTTACTTTAACTAAATCTAACATAAACAGCAGTAGTTGCCCTTTTCTAGATTTGGACATTTCAATCTCTAAAGGAAAACTGCATACTAAAATTTACGACAAAAGAGACGACTTTTCATTCCCTATTGTTAATTTTCCTTTTTTAGACGGCGATGTTCCTTTGGCTCCATCGTACGGTGTTTATATATCCCAACTCGTTCGTTATGCCCGTGTGTGTAGTGATGTCATAGATTTTAACGAACGTAATCAATGCATCACTGGTAAATTATTAAGTCAGGGATTTCGTTACCATAAATTACGTAAAACTTTTACTAAATTCTTTCATAGATACAAAGTAAATTTGGCTGTACCTGTAGAAAACTGATTAAAAACGGTATTTCACATCCTAAATTTTACGGTAATATTGTACTTAAAGCGCGGAAATCACTATGTGATCCGTGTAAACTCTTCGAACCTTTAAATAAACTTATTAGTAAAGGTTATATTACCAATGTTGTAATTTGATCTTTAAATATAGTTTACATTGGCCCTAATATCGATTTTGTCCTCAGCAAATTAAAACATAACTAAATTTGTATTCTTTTCAAACGGGATGTATAAAGACACACCCACGTTCATTTTCATCTATAAAGAGGTTAACTCCTAACTATCCTACTGCCTGTCGATACATTTATTTTTGGCATTGCACAAGTCATGTCTTCTTTGACTGTTCATGACGTTAAAATACTAAATCCCTGGGGTGTGTTTTAGTTGATTTTAGTTTCTGATGCATGATTTTTTATTATTAATTGTTTTATGGCTTTTAACTAGCTTTCAGTAACTGCGAGTACTCTCGCTGTTTATTTGACCTGTTGATACAATTTGTAATGCTTTTTTGTTATTTAATGTTTACTTATTCAGGGTTATAACTGGCCTATATACCAGCTTTGATAAGTGTTTGGTATTACTATAAATTTTCACTTCTTCGTACTATGAACATCAAAATTATTTATTTTGTAAAATTATTTCCTTTCTCCGTTTGAATTGTACATGAATACCTAACTACAAAATTATTTTCATTTACCTGTGTATAAATGCAAATGGTGCATATTTTTGTTCTAGCTTATTGTTGTTTTTCTAAAATTGTTTAATATTTCACAGCGGTATATTTTATTGATTTTATATTTGTATTGTATCAAAGATCAAATTTATTTGTTCAGTGTATGTTGGATCGTGTTAATTTGTCTTTTGATTGAGTTAAGCCATTTCAATTAATATTTTATAGTGTGTTTTTCTATGTTGTGATGTTTCACTATTGTTTCAGATTAGGGGAAGGTTTGGTACCATTAAAACGTTTAACCCGCTGCAATTGTTTGCACCTGTCCTAAGTCAGGAATCTGATGTTCAGTAGTTGTCGTTTGTTGATGTGGTTCATAAGTGTTTCTCGTTTCTCGTTTTTATATAGATTAGACCGTTGGTTTTCCCGTTTGAATGGTTTTACACTTGTTTTATTTGGGGCCCTTTATAGCTTGCTGTTCGGTGTGAGCCAAGGCTCCGCGTTGAAGACCGTACTTTGACCTATAATGGTTTACATTTTTAAATTTTTTTTTGTTTTGACTTGGATTGAGAGTTGTTTCATTTGCACTCATACCACATCTTCTTATATCTATAAACTGCCAAATATTACGAACAGTTCTGTGTTGAAGTGTCCATTGTATGTCTACTTATTAGTATTGCTTAATCACTTTAATTATCGCAATATTGAAAAGATTAGTCGAACCCATATATAATTACATTAAGAAGATTTAGGTCACCGTCATCTGTTACGTGAAGATATTTCTTTTCATTTTCAGAAATTGTTGAAAAGCGCCTGGTGAAAAAGGCGGACGTTTTCGTGCTTTCAATTCTTCTTTTCTCCAGAAAACGACCTAAAACAATAAAAAAAAGTTTATTAATTATAAAAGAGGAGATGTGGTATGATCACCAATGAGACAACTCTCCATAAGAGACCGAATGACACAGAAGTTAACAGCTATAGGTCAACGTACGGCCTTCAACAACGAGTAAAGCCCATACCGTATAGTCAGCTATAAAAGGCCCCGAAATCACAAATGTAAACAATTCAAACGAGAAAACTAACGGCCTATTTAATGTACAAACTAGAGGCTCTAAAGAGCCTGTGTCGCTCACCTTGGTCTAAGTACATATCAAACAAAGGAAACTCTCCAACATTGTAGACGAGAATAGACTTCTAACAAAAATCTCTATTTTGTTGATCTTGTATTACTGATCTTTCAGTCTGTTTAATTTCTCTCTATCTTCTTTAGTTTTTGCTCAAAACACAAAAGAGGGTAAAAAAATCCTCATTTAAGGGCAATCACTCCTATGAAGAGTGACAGTCTACTAGCTATATCGGCAACATTTGACTTTTTAATAGGTCTTGCCTTGCTGATCATTTTTGTAATTTAAAGTGTTTATTTATCTATTGTTATTTAAATCAAATAAGACATAACGGAAGAATAAATGTTTCTCTCTTAATTTCATGGTTTTCATGATAATAGGCAAAAATCTAAAAAAATGGTAAAATTTGTCATTTATGGGCAATAACTCCTATAAGAATTTGTCTAACAGTTTTGACGTATATGGACCACTGGTAGAACTCATTTTTAAGGTGTTTCCACTCCGTTAGGAAAGACCTTATTGTTTTTCTAATGTTTTTTTTTTCTTTTTTTAAGGTCTTTCCACTCCGTTAGGAAAGACGTTATTGTTAAGGTCTTTCCACTCCGTTAGGAAAGACCTTATTGTTTTTCTAATGTTTTTTTTTTCTTTTTCTTTTTCTTTTTCTTTTTCTTTTTTTTTTTTCTTTTTTTTTCTTCCAACATTTTTTTTGACATGCCCTCCCCTCGTTTCTATTAAAGCTATCAAGACCAAATTTGAACCATCGATAGACCTCATTGTGAAGTATTACCAGATGACTCTGTTAAGGATTTCATCATCCCCTTTGGAAGTTATCTCCCTTTTATTGGGTTTTTCAACATGGTCCCCCCTCGTTGTTTTTAAAGATATCATGACCTTATTTGTACTATAGGTAGATCTTATCATGATGTATTACCATATTAGGCTGCGTAGGATTTAATCGACTCGTTTGAGAGTTGCATCCCCTTGAAGCAATTTCTTTTATTTGCATTTTTCTTAAAAAGTATAAGAGATAGAATCTAATTGAAAATAGCAGCATCTACAGGAACAAAGGGCAATGTTAATAAACATAAATAATTAGTATGTTATCAATCTTTAAAAGGAGTTATTTCCCTTGAAAAAAATTACTCAATTTGTGAAAAATTGTATTTCGAGAACCGGAAGTCGTAGAGACTTGGGACCTTCACCAATAATCTTTAATTCATGTGACCTTTAACTTGCATCCAAGGTCAAAGGTCACCGAGTGCAAAAAAAAATTACGCTGCAATTTCAAGCTTACATATTAAGAAAACGATAAGAGTTTGCTGCATACATACTGCGTATAAAATGTTCCTCTCGACGAGCTCTACATTTTATACATTAAGCTTAAAACCGTCTGTTCAAAAGTTGCAACGAGATAATTCTTAAAAGTATAGTATTGTGTGTATATCTTTTTAAAGGTAACAGATATCAACCTACTATTAATTGCAAAAATGATCAGTATCTAAAGACCTTCAATTTGAGGTCAATGTCAGGTCATGATGAAATTTTACCTTGACCTTCAACGTGTACTATGACCTTGACCTTGTGATATTTGAAAGGTCAAGTGGTCCTGAGTTGAATGGTGGTAGTCCTATGTCTCTACGATTTCCGGTTCTCAAGTTTGGTATTGCATCATATATTTGATGATTCATTGTGACCTTGATGAATTTTGGAATTGTCCCAAATTTTTTGATACAATATTGTCCTTCAGCTGCAGATTACTTATCATTTAACAGATATGAGATATCTATTGTCGTTATAGAGATAATGCAGTTTGAAATTTTGCGAGCGGAGGCATGTATTTCTGAATCAACAATCGCTTTCCACCAGAAGTTTTCAGAAATTGAAGAGTTTAACATGGTTATTTGTTTGACTAATTACCAGAAATTTTCAATGAAAAACTAAAAAAAAACAATCAATTTGAAATTTTCATCTTTTACATTGATTTTGTAAGTTTCATAAGTTCTATTTATATAATTGATATTGCATCATTTTTGGCACTTTGTCAAATGCGGTCATTATGTATATCAAATTGAACGTCTAAATGAGCTCTACTCAAAAATGAAAATTTCAAACCCCTTTTTCATCCCAGTGGGAAGGGTGGGGTCATTAAGTGCAAAAATTTCAAACTTCTCAGATGGTAAGGTTGTCGCATATCAAATGAAAGTCCATAAAGCGTACATTTCAAATATCAAATTGACGTCCCCAAAAAATGTTTTTTTTTTCTTCCAACATTTTTTTGACCTGACCTGCCCTCCCCTCGTTTCTATTAGAGTTATCAAGACCAAATATGGACCATCGATAGACCTCATCATGGAGTATTACCAGATGACCCTGTTAAGGATTTCATCATCCACTTTAGAAATTATCTCCCTTTTATTGGTATTTTTTAACATGCCCCCCCCCCCTCGTTGTTTTAAAGATATCATGACCTTATTTGTTATATAGGTAGATCTTGTCATGATGTATTACCATATGAGGCTGGGTAGGATTTCATCATCCCCTTTGAGAGTTATATCCCCTTGAAGTAATTTCTTTTATTTGCATTTTTTTTAAAAAGTATTAGAAATAGAATCGATTTGAAAACGGCAGCATGTACAGGAACAGATGGAAATGTTAATAAACATAAACAATTATTTTGATATTTACCCTTATAAGGAGTTATTTCCCTTGAAAATCATACACAATTTTTTTTAAATTTTATTTTTAGAACCGGAAGTCGTAGAGACTTGGGACCTTCACCAATAATCTTTAGTTCATGTGACCTTTAATTTGCACCCAAGGTCAAAGGTCATTGAGTGCAAAAAAAATTTACGCTGCAATTTCAAGCTTACATATTAAGAAAACGATAAGAGTTTGCTGCATAACTACTGTGTATAAAATGTTCCTCTCGACGAGTTCTATATTTTATACATTAAGCTCAAAACTGTCCGACCGTCTGTTCAAAAGTTACGACGAGATAATTCTTAAAAGTATAGTATTGTGTGTATATATTTTTAAAGGTAACAGATATCAACCTACTATAAACTGCAAAAATGATCAGTAATTCAAGACCTTCAATTTGAGGTCAATTTCAGGTCATGATGAAATTTTACCTTGACCTTCAGAGTGTACTATGACCTTGACCTTGTGATATTTGAAAGGTCAAGTGGTCCTGAGTTAAATGGTGGTAGTCCTATGTCTCTACGACTTCCGGTTCTCAAGTTTGATATTGCATCATATATTTGATGATTCATTGTGACCTTGATGAACTTTTAAATTGTCCCAAATCTTATTCTACAATGTTGCCCTTTAGCTGCAGATCATTTATCATTTAACAGATTTGAGATATCTATTGTCGTTTTATAGATAGTGCAGATTGAAATTTTGCGAGCGGAGGCATGTATTTCTGAATTAACAACAGCTTTCCACCTGAAATTTTCAGAAATTGAAGAGTTTAACATGGTTATATGTTTAACTAATTACCAAAAACTTTCAATGAAAAACTGAAAAAAAAAAATCAATTTGAAATTTTCATCTTTTACATTGACTTTGTAAGTTTCATAAGTTCTATTTATATAATTGATCTTGCATCATTTTTGGCTCTTTGCCAAATGCGGTCATTATGTATATCAAATTGAACGTCTAAATGATCTCCACTCAAAAATGAAAATTTCAAACCCCTTTTGCATCCTAGTGGGAAGGGTGGGGTCATTTAGTGCAAAAAATTCAAACTTCTCAGATGGTTAGGTTGTCGCATATCAAATGAAAGTCCATAAAGTGTACATTTCAAATATCAAATTGACGTCCCCCGAAAATGGGTTGGGTGGGGTCATTGAGTGCAAAACAAAGATTTTCTTTTAAAATAAGGTTGTTGTATATCAAATGAAAGGTCATAACGTGTACATTTCAAATATCAAATTCCTGTCCTCGAAAAATCAGTTGGATGGGATTATTTAGTGCAAAAACTTTCTAGAACATGGCGTTGTCGCATATCAAAGGAAAGATCATCAAGTCTACATTACATATATCATACTTCCAAACTCGAAAATTTCGGCGGATGGTGTCATTAAGTGTAAAAAAAGCGAAAAGTTTCAGAAGGTATGCTTGTCGTATATCAAATGAAAGGTCGTAAAAAGTACATTACGAAAACATCACTTTTACAGGAAAGACCTTTCAATTGTTTTACAAATAATTGAGATACTAGTTCTAAATATTTTTGCTCCTTTCAGACTTTTTCTATTTATAACCGCTCAAAAAATAATAAACAAAACTTGCATTTAACCCCTATGATCTATGTTTAGCCATGTCGGTCATGTTGGTTGGTAGGCGGGGTCATCGGACACATGTTTTAAACTAGATACCCTAATGATGAGTGTGGCCAAGTTTGGTTAAAATTGTCTCTGTAGTTCAGAGGAGATGTTTTTTTAAAAGATTACAAAAAAATGTTAAAAAGTGACTATAAAGGGCAATAACTCCTTAAGGGGTCAAAAGGCCATTTAGGTCATGATGACTTATTTGTAGATCTTACTTTGCTGACTATTACTGCTGTTTACAGTTTATCTCTATCGATAATAATATTGAAGATAATAACCAAAAACTGCAATATTTTCTTACAAAATGTGGCGGGGTTAAACATGTTAGGGGGATCCCAACCCTCACCCTCACCCTAACCTGGGACAGTGGTGTAACAGTACAACATAAGAACAAACTATACAAATCAGTTGAAAAAGATATTAAACCGATTTCAAGACATGAAGTTGAACGTAATTTAACATGAATGGTGGTTTAGTTCTTTTTCATGATGGTTTAGTTCTTTTTCATGATGGTTTTGTCATTTTGATATATATACAATTGGTGCACATTTTAAATGTCATATGTTTTTTTGGGGCAAAACCTTTGGTATTTGATACTATTACAAACAAACAAGAGATAAAAAATACTTTATATTGTGTCAAGTTAAAACGACAAGTCGAGGAAAAACAGTTATCACTATGACAACCGCTTCCCCCCCCCCCTAAAAAACAACAAACAATAATTAAACAAAACAGACGCAAAAAACAACAAGTAAACAACAGTACACAAGAAACAATAACAAAAACCTAAGTTGTCAAAATTCAACTCGAACGTCATCAAATAAATTGGGCCTCGTTCCTTTCCTACTAGTGGTCTCGTGCTCAGTTGAATACGGCGATGTCACTATTGAAGGAGAGAGGATGAGCTTTCGGTACGACAAGTGAAAAAATGCGTGACGATCTGTGATACAGATATTCTATATAGGCCAATCAGGTTATGAATAACTCATATCTCTTCGACTGACCATAAACAAATGACATTTTTTCCAGAATGATAAAAAATATAAACTTAATTAATTACTTGTTTTCAAATTTACCACAGATATATTCGAATTAGATACATATGCATAAAAGTAGATGAGGGATGTTCGTTTATGGGATGCAATCCAACAATCCAAGTAAACAAATAAACCTTGAATTTAATAGACAAGTGTAAATATGCCATATGTTGAAGACCGTACTTTGACCGCTATAATGGTTTACTTTTATAAATTTTGACTTGGATGGAGAGTTGTCTCATTGGCACTCATACCACATCTTCTTATATCTATATGATAAGTTACGCTCAAAATCGTTTCGAGTATACAAAACACAATATCAAAGTTCTGCTATCAACAAGTTTTCCAAACTAATAAAAAAAAACCAAGATAACCACTGACGAGGTTTCTGACTTAAGACAGGCATTTTATATATGATAGGGTTAAACCAGTTCCCCCAATTTCAATCTTCATCGGAGGACTCTCTTAAGGGCATACGATACAGTAACAGGGATATAATGACGTTACCAACGTAAATATTATTCAGTTTTGCGACGTCAAACTGAGACTTACGGGGAACAGACGTATTTTTCATGAAATAACGAGTGCATGGACCCCTCTTTTTTTAAATGAAATTTGACTTGAAACTGTATGAAGATTAGTTATTCTAATTTTTATTGAGAAATCACCGATGAATTATTTTAAATAAGATAAATGTGCAACAAAAATGCTGTTTTTTTTTCTAAAATCTTGAAAATATAATAAGAATAAATCGTTTTTAAAGAATTGTTACACAAATTTAGAAGATACTCGCGTAAATACGACATTCCAAATCGATTTACAAAAATCCGCATGTGTTTATCTTTGAAACAAAAATGTTTAAAATGTCTATTCAAAGAATTGAAATGTCCAAGTTTCGGTAAATGTTTAAATTTCTTCCCCATATATGTCTAAATTTAGCAAATGAAGGTATATTTTTTATTACATATTTGAGCAGGTGAAAAATAGCTTGTATGCAAATTTTCGTAAACAAATCACCATGGGATCGAAACTGTATTGTATGCCCATGTTAAAGGGGAGATAATGACGTTACCAAAGTAAAATGTTATTCCGCGACGTCAAACTTTGACATATCGGGAACAGATGTATTTTTCGACTGATTTTAATCATTAGCATGATAACGAGTACATGGACCTTACTTTTTTAAAATGACATTTTAATACTTTGATTATATATGAAGATTATTTGTACCAATTCCCCCATTTTCTACACAAGGAAATGCCTGTACCAAGACAGGAATATGACAGTTGTTTGCCATTCATGTCATGTGTTTCAGGTTTAGATTTTTCTATTTGATAAGGGACTTTCCGTATTAAATTCTCCTTAGACATGTTGGAGTACAGTATTTTTGATATTTTACTTACCACTAAAATAACGTTTAAAAGCATTAAGAAAATAAAAATTCAAACAATAAAATATTTAACCGTATCAAAAATTACTACATTTAAAAGTAATCATTTTGATATTTTATCTAATTTCAAATTATGAGACCTAGTTGTTTTATTTATCCTAGATAATGTAAGTGTGTCTATTAGGTCGGAACTTAATTGTTATCATTTTTATGCCACATATGTATGCGTACTGTTAGACCATATGTGCAAACGCACTAAAATACCATATGTGTACACTCGTACTATATATACCACAAATTTTACAACCTGAATGTTTCAGTACAAAGAAATAATACAGGAACACATTTGTTATTTGTTTTATTTGGTGTTTACCTACATTTGGGAAACTCGCACGCCTTTGTGTGTGGTTGTCCGGAAACGAGTCCTTCAAAAACGATGTTATTACTCGGTTTTTTCAAGTGCTGCATAAATTTATCTGTCCCAGATTTATTTAGAACAACAGTGCGCTCCAAAATCATGTTCCAATCAGTTACCACCAAAAATGAAGTGTCTTTAATTAAACGTATTTCAATAGTTCCTGAAATTGAAATTAAGTGAAAGATGCACTTGATGAGTCTTCATAGGTATTGCTCAATTATATATTTACTCTTAATTTATCCTTCTTTTCATTTAAGTCGTTTTAACAATTTAGGTTTTGTTTCGTTAACTGACTTCGACAAATGTTCTTTGTTTAAAAAGTTTTGATATTTACGTGCACAAAACACATCATTATCTCGAAAGTAATTAATATTCACTACACGTAGTTTCTATATTGGTTTGCACCTCAGACGGATGTTTTTCTGCAAACAATTGTGTGCTATTCCCTAATGGAAAATGTCTGAGTGTAAATTCACAAGGCGGGTGATGCATGCCGGGAAAAAAGACTAACTTGCGTGCACAAACGGATTCGCTCCTGTGAGTTCATGCGATTCTCTCATTATTTATATTTCAACTTGATTTGTCTCTGTTTAACACTACAAACTATTAAAAGTCGGAAATGACCTATATCTGTACTCGACTGTACTGATTTTTACTCGACCAGTCTGAATTGGTCTGAAATTTACTTAATATTACTCGACTGTAGTCTGAACCATACCATAACCTAACATGTTTAACCCCGCCACATTCTGCATGTATGTGCCTGTCCCAAGACAGGAGCCTGTAATTCAGTGGTTGTCGTTTGTTGATGTGTTACATATTTGTTTTTAATTGTTTTTCGTTCATTTTTTATGTACATAAATTAGGCCGTT